TTTGTAAACAATTTATATATTGAAAAGGTAAAACAACTTCATCCAAAAAATGCACAGAAATGTAACCCTGCCTTTAGTTTAGTAGTTCATTTCACAGAGCTATCGCCAAATGATGTAGTACAAAAAACTGAACATGAAAAAGACGTTTTTAACTTTGTCAAAGAAGCCAACTTTTGAAGTTTTGCAACGTGGTCAATTTAATTGTGTACGTCCTTACTAGTAGTGCCAAAAATGTAACTATCCGTTACTTTGTATTCGTTACTCAAGAAATACCTGAGTAACGAATACAAACTTTTTATTGTATTCGTTACTTTTACCATTGAGTAAAAATATTATAGAGTCACAATGACTCAATTTTTAAATTTTCAGCAACAGGCACGGGAGGGCGGAGTGAAGATATTTCTTCTTTCTGCGCTGCTGCTAGATCGGCCGCGCTTGTGCTTGTTCTTTCTAAAAATTTTACTATAAATGAATTAAGGACAAAAATGAAAACAAAAAACAGATTTGCTTGTTTACGAAGGCAGGCAGTACAAGAAAAGAGTCAAATTAGTTTTTGGTGTAATTATTTGTTTTTGCAATTAATGCTTGGCACCAGCAAGCAGCACGTAAAATTTCATGCATTTAATATCACTTCATAATGCAAATAAGAGAAACATCCCAACTTGTTTGGAAGTTTACTGACCTACATATATATATGTATGTGTATAAATGTATATTTATAAACATATGTACTTTTATTTGGAAGAATATGAATATTTTTTGATCTTATTTTCGGAACATTTGAAGCAAATGAAAGCAATTTCAATTTTTTGTTTTAATCAGGTATAATAACAGTTATATGTATTATATTAGTATTAGATAAAATAAAATAATTGTATGTAATTGACCGTGTGCGAGTTCGAGTAATTGATGGTAAATTGGGGAAAATAGTAAATTATGTCCGTATGGCAGCGAATGTTGGTATTTACCAGAATTTCGAGTAGGGTAAATTAGGTATTACCATTGGGAACATTTTATAAGATGCATAATAAAAAAATAAATAAATTTGAAAACTTTTAACATAAGTGCAGTGCAAAAAAACCCTAGGAAATTTCATTTTACTTTACCATAATTTACCGAGTTGGTTTATTGGGGCCTGCAGACTTCATCGAATTGAATTATTCTGCTTATATTACTTCGTAAGCAATTCCTTTGGATGGTAGAAAAAGTGAAATCGACTAAGGCATAAATTGTTATATGGCCTTATATTACAAATTTGCCCTAATACAGGCTTAATAACATTTATTTATAATTTATTTATTACCATAACTACTTACTTTATTTATTTATTTTGTTCAAAATACATAGTTTAAGTGAATTAATTTTAAGATAGTTATTAATAAACATGTGTTAATAAATATGTATAAAAATGTAAATATTAATACTTATTACGTAGAAACTTTCGCTATTTTTTATGGTTATTCACGGGATATTGATCAATTTATAATTTTTTGTGTTAATATATATTAATATTTTAAACAAAGCAATTTATACATATAAACAATAAAAAATAATGTATCATATATATATCTAATAAAGGCAAGAACTAACAAATGTGTTCTCTTATTGGTGGTGGTATTCCTCTATTCCTGAGCGTTGTTTGTTGTCGTTTTGTCATTGGGCCTTGTTGTTATAGGATTTTAGACAGTTTTAGGAGTGTTTTCGGAAAATACCTTTATTGCCGGTTGTTTTCTTTCTTCTTTTTTACCATTTTATTTTCCAATTATTTATGTGTGATAATATATTTCTTTATCATTTATATGTAAAATATCTTTTTGTTGAAAATACAAATGTATATTAATATAAAAAACTAAAGTTCTTCAAATTCTTAAGGACGATTATAAACTATAGTAGAAAGAGAGAACAAATAATAAAAAAAAATTTTGAAATAGTGAAAAATTCTCTTTTCTGTATTTTTTTTTAAACAAAATTTCTTCGTTAACATTGACTAGGCCTCCTGGGGACACCATGTAAAAAAAACGCGCCATTCCAAACTACCTCATAGGTGGTCTGGAAATTAGTGCGCAACTAGTAACATGAAAATTGTCACTTCTATTTAATTAACGATAACCTTTCATGTATGTCCATCTAGTAACTATAAATGATTATGCAGTTATTTAAATAAATCTCCATTTCTCGGCAATTATCCGCTTGCAAAAGCTAATAGTCGATACACTTGTATCCCTTGTACTGATATTCCTTTTATACTTATTCAGTAACTGTTAGGTGCATATATTTGTAAAATAGCGTTAACTATTCAAACTGCCATATAAACTGAAGGTTTAATTTTAGTTTTTTTTAT